TGCTCAGCACTAAGGGACCCAACTCAAGGCCAATGAACCACTTAAGTCCTACGTACTCCCTAATTTGAGGATTTAAAAAGTGAGACTTATGTGTTGCGTTGGATTTTTGCTAGCCTGCTGCACAGGGGTGAGTTTCACTTAAGAATCTTCAACACAGTTAATCCTACTTCAGGAGATCTCAATTTGGGGATGGCAAACTGGTGTCAGGAGATTGACCATCCTGTCCTTCCTGCATTGTCAAGTGGGCTCTGGTAGGGAAACGGTGGTAGTGATCTGGCCAAGGTTAAGAAGCAGTCTCCTACCCTAAAACTTCCAGAATCAGTTAGAGAATACAAGTATTCGGGATAACTCCATTTTCAGTGTATTTGTGTTGTCTCCAAACCAGTCAATATTGCCATTGATCATAGTCTGCCTAGAGCTTATGAGTCCTCTGAATGCCAAGACATGCTATACAAGACTAGAAATAATGTAATGTTTATTATCAAATGTTTTGTCTTGGCCTTACTTGAATAACATCCCTGTATAAATAAAATGTGGAACTCTAGCTGCATATTTATTTCATAGCATTATAGTTACTTATTTGTATTTTTCCTTCTTTTTATTCAGGGAAGAATGAATCAGACATGCAAAGAAAAAGCAATGCAGTGCTGAAGGTATCACAAAGGGTGTGTCTAGTCTGGCAGCCTCCACAGCTGCTTTGCTAAGGAAAAAAATGAAAAGCAACAATGACTTACTGACCCTCATCCTTCACTGGAAGTTGGTGATGCAAACCAATCAAATATAGATCTTTTACAGAATCTTAATATTTTAATGCATTTTTAGGAAATTCTCATATTTTGCTCAAATCCCGACCTTTGGATGCCTACATATGTGGTTATAGGGAGCTTGCATTTATGAGGGTCACATGGGACCTCAATCCCACTGTTTTTTTATGGGCGTTCAGGGTGCATAGCACCTCTCAGGACGTGGCAGTAGATGGACTCAATTTTCAAGGTGCCGAGTGCCTTCAACATCCACTGGAGTAAGTGTCATACTCATCCCAGACCTATAGGCACTCAGAAGTTGGAAGGATTGTGCACTATGGCCTTAATTCAGTAGAGCACATAAGCACATACTTACCTTCAATCCTGTGAGCAGTCCCTTTGAACTTTAGTTGGATTACTCCCGTGATTACGTGCTTTGCTGAATCAGGTCCTGTGTGTGCGCGTCCACAAACTGGTAACAATGCATGCAGAACACACACTGATGTGTCCAAAGTGGGTAAGCACATATTATTGTATCTATCTGCACATGAAGATATGTTGGATGTACTTGCACATGTGAGACTGGAGTGTAAGGGTACATATTAGTGTTTACAGTCTTACTTCAATGGCTTATGCATGCTCCTGTTGAAGTCAATAGCAAAACTCCCATTGACTTGAATGGGAGCAAAATTTGGTACTAATTTACATAACTTCCCCCTTGTTGTGTAATGCACTGTCAGTTTTGATAACTATTTTGCAAACTTTCATTTATGTTATTTTAATTGAGCTAACCTTTAGAATGTGCTGAGCTCTACAGTGGTTAGTCTCCCAGTAATTTCAGAAATTCTTTGAAGAGAGGTACATGGCTAATAAAATAAGGAAACCCATCTCAGTTTAATTTTATGTGCATTTTTAGATTATGGTTAGCAATAGATGACAAGTTGGCATGGCAACATTTGCAGCTTAACTACTAATAAGCGCTCTTAAAATAAATCGGTGTCATATGTGGGTTTCTTGCCATTAGCATACTGTACCACCTGAAGAGAAGCAACACATATATCATTTGCAAAACATGCATACAATTAGACCCTAATTCTTATTTTTGAATGAAGTGTTAAACTAAGACATCATGCATGTTTCCTGGCATTTATGAACAGTCTCCGACTATGAAATATAAATGTTGATAATGAACTTGTCCATTTTTTAGTGTCTCAGGCCTTCAGCCATTCACTCCATGTAAAAAATGATTAGCATAAGGAATATAGATTGTGCTATGTTTCTTTTGTGGCACACGTCACATTCACCTCTCTTAAGTTGCACACCTCCTAATATCAAAATTGTCTTCCGTATTATAAAAGACTATTAGCTCATTAAACTAGTAGATGGGTGGATTCATTCTGTGTGTCAAAAGATTTGGAATTAAAATCTCATCTTTAACTCAAATGATAATAATAAAGCAGCAAAGCTATCAATGTGAGTTTGTGGATTGTGGTTAGAGCAGGCAGGGAGCATAATGATTAATTTCCAATTGCCTTGTGGTGAGCAGAAAAAAACGGTGTCTAGTTATTATAGAATCTGTTCAGTTCAAAATGCTTTCACTAAGCAAACTTTGTGCAGGACAAAGGAACTATTTTTGCCTCTCTCTCTAGTAGGCTGACCTGCTTAGGTGTGTGATAAATACAAACAGGATAAAATGGAACAGCTACTGATTATCTGTATTTGACAAGGTGCTGCTTTTCTTGTGTATAGTAAACTGCTTCTCAAAATGTAAAACTGGGCACTTTGGTTGGCTTGATTTATATGCACAATATCTTTCTGACCAAATTAATTGCAATTAATGTTAAGATGCTGCTACTAAGTCCTCCTATGTCAATATACCCCTTTGCTCTCACTTTCAACAAAATACACAGAATTGACAAACTGGACATTTTAAAATATAAAATATGGTTTATTTCTTAATTCACTTATTACCATACACTCTACTGTGCAGAGCATTACAAGATGTTAAAAATATAACTCATGCCATATTTCTAATCAACCAATGGTCCTTATATCACCTTGGAAAATTGAATTCTGTTATTTGCACCAACACAGTTGACAGATGCTGGAAATATAGTGATTGAATCACTGAATGATAATTATGTTAAATGTATGCTAATACAATTGGCTAAGAAATATTTTATACATACAATATAATTCTCAAAATAAACCTCCTGTTAAGGCATCATTGATATTTGTGGCCTAAAAAAGTGGAAATTCTCATCTATATTTCATAAATCTACTGTATTTCTAGTATGTAGGTGAAGGATTTTAGTATTTTGAATTTGCATT